TGTACCTCCGACATTGGTGACCTATTGTCCTCGACATTTTGATCTTGTTGGATGACATTTTGGACTACCATATCGGTGACCTATCAAATTCTATCTCGGTGACCTTCAGTGTTGTCTACCTGCCCCACCTCCTTCGTCTCTCCTCCCCCATTCATCTGTGTATGTTGTGTACGGGGCTGAGCACCTTCTTTGTATGGCTCATACCCCACCATCTCACGATTGTATGTGTGTGGAGTGATGCTATGTGAGTCAATCTATGTGAGTCAGTCTATGTGAGTCAGTTCGTTTATCAGACTTCCGCTGCATACATGCTCATCCTATATTGGTTTATCTTTGGTTCTGCCCATACTCATCGAAGTATGCAAAAGTTTTGGTATCGGAGCAGACCATAAAACGGATCTGCTCACAAAGGTAAGTCTGGTTAGGAGATAGATTGCTCTTCAATTTTCCCAATCAGCATTGAATTACTATCGAGTTCAAAGTTGCAAAAAAAAATTCTCTTTCAGTATTCTATTTAGTTCGGCATTTACGTTCAAATCGGTATTCGGACTTATAATTCGGATTTCTGTTTTCTTCCGGTATGCTGCTATTTGAGTTCCCATTGAGTAATACTAATCCGATAATTGATTAAGTTTCGGATTTCTGATGTTACACGAATTAGGGTTGAATCAGTATCATGTTGAAATTCGGCGTTTCTGATTTCCATTCAGCATTCCGTTTTCAACATTTTTTTTGTAAATCCTATATTTCGTGGTCTTTTGGATTTTCGTTTTCTTTCAGTATTGGGAATTAGGGTTACGAGAATCTTTGGTTTTTAGATCAACTTGGGGAAATTCGAACGTTTTGGGACCGTAAATCCGGAAATTTCGCCGAAACACAGAAAATTAGGGTTGGGACCGAAATTTTCGCGAATTTTTTTTTCGTTCTCCTTGTTTGAGAAATTCCGAAAATAGGTTTAGGCTTTTAAAAATCGGATTTTGACGGTGGAAATTCCTGAAAATTCGCATTTTTGAAAATTCGAGCTTTTTTTCTTCTGAAAATTTTCGAAATTTTTTTAGCACACTAAGCCGTATCTGACCCTCAAACTGCAGCTTCCGGGTAGTTCACTCAGTAACGATGAACTCCCGGACTCAAAGTGATCTCAAAGAGATCTAATCATAATACCTTTCAAATTCGTTTATTAATTGGTTATCTTTATTACAAACATTGTTTTACTGATTATCATTCGGATTTATTTCGTTAATTATCATTAATTAATTTTATTGATTAAACCGTTATTAATTCCTTATTACGAATTTTTTGAAGGGTTTACGGGAAATTTAATTTCTTCCGTTTGATTAGGTGTCTACAGTCCATCAGTGGGACAGGGGATTGTATGTATATTGATTGACTGTTCTACCCCTGTTACCACTCTACCTACCCCCCCTGTAGTCTGTGAACATCGGCACCTCTCAAGTACCGCATAAGTTCAGACTGATGTCGACGGAACAGGACACCGGGGCACTGCCACGGCGCAGTGCCAGGATCGCAGTTCATGCCCGCCCTGCGGTACCTCCAAGACCCAAGAGATTCAGCAGACGAACGACTCCAGGGGCATCAAGTACGGCATTGATAGTACAAGACACCACCGGAGATTTTCCCACATGCCCGGTCCGAGAGGCCAATGAGCCGTTGGCTGACTATTTTGGGTGACTACAGGTATTTATAGATACCGTAGCTGCCGCTAAGGCTCAGCAGGAGGCAGCAGAGGCAGAACGTCAGCGGCTGGCCAATGAGGCGGCAGCCCAAGCTCAGCAAACTGCTGAGGCTGACGCAGCGGCACGAAACAGACGGAATGCCGTCAGCACGGAGTCCCTGATTGCTAGTGAGCATCAGTGGACAACGTTACTCCAAGACATGATCTTTGCGCCTACGGAAACGCAGGCGGAACTGACACAGGCGGAGGCATAGAAAAGTAACCTGGCTACCGTGATGTTGCACGTAATGAGGGGAGTAATGTGGAACAATAAACTACTGCAGGCACACCTGCACGCGATCGTCAGCAAAGACAGCAGTACCAGCAAGACCATGCCGTTGTAACGGCCGACGTCCGCGACGCAGCAGTGCAGCAGCAGCAACAGCAACAGCTAATGAACTCTACCATCGCACGCATCAACGGCATTGAGGCCAAGGCCTCAGCAGCGCCAGGTTGCACGACGAACGCGACGAAGCAAATCAATGAGCGCATCATCGGCGACATAGGTGTTTTCAACGGACCGGACACGATCAGCAGCACGGTGGCCGCCCTCAAGACGGACATCACCAAGCTACAGACGAGACCGGACGCCGCTACAAAGACATTCAAGATGCCGCACTTCGACATCTGCAAGTTCGACGAGTACAACAAGTCGGACGCTTTGACATGGTGGCAACGTTTCCTCACGGAAGCGTCATGCCGCACTGTCCCGGCGAACGACATGTTGAAGGCACTCTATTTGCAACTGATTGGAGGAGCGCAGGCATGGATGAACCACCTGGCGGCCACCCACAAGTGCACCATCGCCGAACTCCACACRCACATCACGTGGAAGGAGTTCGAGCAGCTATGGYTCACCCGGTTCATGGTCCGCAACGTCGTGAAGGCGGCCATGAATGAGGTGTACACATGCTCTCAGGGGAACATGCGAACTCGAGACTGGACAACGAAGTGGCAAAAGATAGTAACCACGCCAGGATTCGATTTGAGTTTCTCAAATCAACGATCCGAGTTCTTCTCTCGATCGTGCGCGGGACTGCGGTCGGCACTCGGTAATGAGTACGATTATACCACATTCCAGGCCATTCTGGATCGAGCGAACCTGGTCATCCAAATGGACGACAAGGCCGCTAACGAGAGACAATCCCAACCGCATTATGTGGCTAAGCAGGCCTATCAACGTCCGGCACATAACAATGCCGTGATTTCTGAGGAAACCGACGACCACCACGCTGCAGCAGCATCCTCGAGTGATGGAGGAATTGTCGCAGCGCTCCTGCCGAAGCGTCCCAAGAGAGTTCGAAAGAACAAGGCGACACAAGAGACGGCAACGACGGGAGCTGGGCAGCAGCCATGGACGGCATATAAGATCACCAAGGAGGTCTATGACCTACGTCAGAAGTACGGATACTGCCTTTGGTGCAACGGAGTCATCCATGTGACCGCACAATGCCCCGAAAAGGGCAAGGCACGCGTACCCCATCCAGCAGACTCGGGAAACTGAGTTACGCAAGGAGAGGGGCGACGTCTCTCCTCACTCCGCCGGACCCGGTTGCCTTGCTAGCAATCGATGTCACTACCGGGGAGCATGCGTTAGTCGCTGATTCTCGTGCTACGTACGAGGATTATGCCGCCCAGCTGGTACCACCANTCACTACCGGGGAGCATGCGTTAGTCGCTGATTCTCGTGCTACGTACGAGGATTATGCCGCCCAGCTGGTACCACCATTAGACCAGCCTAGCCACATGCATGTAGATTGCGTATGCGCARCCTGTACACMGTCGGCAAGTGATCCGGTCAGTTCGCCACTGMTTTCCGAGGACTCGACRGCGTGRTCAAGACTTGARGAGCTTGACCCGCTCACGAGAGAGGATTTCGCTTGGATACCTCTACCCTCGACCGGAACATTGCCAAGGCCGCATTGCAACGCCTTGATGGCAAATCTACGCTTCTACTTGCACACTACAGTACCAGCTCCGTTGGTAGCGGTTGCCGATCTCCGCTCCTATCTTGCGAAGATCGACCGCGAGCACGCCACCCAAAGGTACGCYGAAACCGACGCACCTTTGCTCTATATCCGCATTAAAATCGGAAAGGCAACCTGTAGTGCCTTGATTGATTGCGGAGCGTCTCGCAACTTCATGAGTCAAGCCTTTATGGCCCGCGCAGGTCTTGGCCCGCGCGTTCGAAGAAAGACGCAACCTACGCAAGTTACACTCGCGGACGGCCGCACGCAAAAGTCAATTGACCGATGCGTTGACGGCGTTCCGGTCTACTTTGCGCCACTTGCGTGCGAGCCGGTGTCTTTTGACATCCTCGACACCAAGTTCGACATGATTCTAGGCATGTCTTGGTTGCGTAGCGCCGATCATCCGGTGAACTTCCATGACCGARCCGTTCACATCCGTGATYGGAACAGAGTGTTAGTCCCATGTACGGTCGCGACCCCTCACACTTCGATTGCTTGTCACGTGGTTTCCGTTGCGCGGATTCGCGACGCCATTGCTCGGAATGACGTCGAGGAGATGGGCCTTGTATTCTTGCATGCTCTCCCCTCGCCGGACGGACCAGCTGCGTCACCGCCGGACCCACGCATTTCTCACCGCTTGGACGAGTATAGAGACGTCTTCGAGGCTCCCACCGGAACGGTTCCGGATCGGCCTATACGTCACGGGATCACTCTCGAGGCTGGCGTCGTCCCTCCGCGTGGATGTATCTACCGCATGAGCGAAGAGGAACTCGAGGTGCTTCGCGCACAACTCGATGATCTTCTCAACAAGGGTTGGATTCGCCCTAGTTGCTCGCCATACGGTGCACCTGTTCTCTTCGTCTGAAAGAAGAACAAAGATCTACGGTTATGCATCGACTATCGCAAACTTAACGCACAAACTGTAAAGAACGTAGGCCATCTCCCTCGGATTGATGATCTCCTTGAGCAGTTAGGCGGCGCGACGTACTTCTCGAAGTTGGATTTGAAGTCAGGTTACCACCAGATTGAAATCCAGCCTCAAGACCGGTACAAGACCGCGTTCAAGACGCGGTATGGGCATTTTGAGTGGGTGGTCATGCCATTTGGCCTCACCAATGCCCCCGCAACGTTTCAAGCAGCGATGACGACTGAGTTTCGCGACTTGCTGGATCGCAGCGTCCTCATCTACCTTTATGATATCTTGGTTTATAGTAGGACGTTGGACGAGCACATCGTACACCTTCGCGTTGTTTTGAATCGTTTGCGACTAGCCAAGTACAAAGCGAATCTCGACAAGTGTGAATTCGCAAGGCAAGAGCTTGAGTACTTGGGCCATTTTGTCACGCCGAAAGGCATTCGTCCCTTAGCGGACAAGATCCAAGCCATCGTGGATTGGCCGGAACCCCGTTGCACTACGGATGTACGCTCTTTCATGGGTTTGGCTGGATATTATCAGCGATTCGTCGAGTCATACTCGAAAGTGGCCGCTCCTTTGTCGAGACTTCAGTCCCCGAAGGTGCCCTTYGAGTTCGACGACGCAGCCCGTGGCGCGTTCASTACGTTGAAGGCAGCGATGCAAGCCGCACCTGCCCTCCGTATATAYGACCCCACCCTACCCACCCAAGTGACTACGGACGCTTCGGGATACGGTATTGGTGCGGTGTTGGAACAGTGTCACGAGGACGGTTGGCATCCGGTTGGGTATTTCTCCCAAAAGGTGTCTCTCGTCAACACTCTCGACGACGCTAGGAAGAAAGAGCTACTTGCGTTCGTCACCGTTCTCAAACGGTGGCGCCACTTTCTTCTCGGCCGTCGGCGTTTCAAATGGAATACGGACAACAATCCGTTGACCTTTTATAAAACGCAAGACACGGTCACTAGCACGATCAGTCGATGGATGTATTACATCGACCAGTTCGATTTTTACCCGTGCCACATTCCCGGTCCCTCCAATCGAGCTGCGGACGCCCTCTCACGACGGCCC